GAAGTCCTCGGACCTACCGACTAAAACCCCTCTACCTCAGGCCGTTTTAGGACCAACTAGGGTCCTCTTCAGCCATGTCCCAACGAAGCAGTTATAGAGTCGACCTTGATTTTTTTTTTATGTTTTCGTGGAAGAGGGGAAATCTTCAAAAGACACCCAGCCGTCCGTACGACTGGGTAGTGTCGGATTCCCGAGGAAGAAGTCCTCGGACCTACCGACTAAAACCCCTCTACCTCAGGCTGTTCTAGGACCAACTAGGGTCCTCTTCAGCCGGCCCAAATCTACTAACAACCCTATCCTAAAAATACTCCCAAATTTCATATCTCATGACAGTCTCTCCTCTAGCGCTTCTACTACCATTTGTAAGTGTTTCTGCTTTTATCTGTATTGTTTTCATTTTTGTTGTCTTTGTTATTATTATTGTTGTATTATCTTGTTCTTTTTGTCACTTTGTTCTCGTTTGTATGTTTCATTCCTTGTGCCTTTTTGTTACTTGTGTTTCCGTTGTTATTTACAACAAATTTACACAGAGATGAGCTGCACCCTACAGCGGGAAATCGCAAGATGTCGTGAGGAAGTATCCCAGCTACGAGAGAACCAAGTCCGAGCACCCAACTATCCAGGATCGCGCAAAAGGACACATTCTCGCAGCCGATAAAGCGCTCGTGGTCGATCCGTGGATGAAGGCATTTGTTGGTACCACGAACGATATGGTGAAAAGGTCCAAAGGTGTACACGACCATGTAGTATCACGAGTTTGGAAAACTTCAAGGCCGGTCGTTAATGGCGGCAGACGACCTGAGGCACATACCATCCCGCCGTATCCTAGTCCAGGACCGCAACACCAAAACTCTGTTTTTGGTCGACACTGGCGCCGATTTGTGTGTTTTTCCACGCTCACACGTCCGACAACTATGTGAAAAGAGCAGCTACGAACTTTCCGCGGCTAACGGGACGTCCGTCAGTACATACGGTACAACAACCAGGACCCTCAACCTAGGACTCCGGAGGTAGACGCCAAAAATCGAAGACTGATCGACGCCACGACAAAAATTACAACGGTGGGACAAACAGCAAACTCCAACGTTCCGACGGTCAAAATCATAACAGGGACCATATTTAGACCTGCTAACAAACTTTCCGGATATCGTGCGTCCGGATGGAACTGGGACCGTAAAGCATAAGACGAAACACCACATCCAGACTACTCCAGGACCACCTGTGGCTCACAAACCCCGAAGATTGGCCCCAGACCGTCTACGAGCAGCGAAGCGTGAGTTCGACGCTATGCTTAAGTCAGACCATCCCAGAGCTGTTGGTCGTCTCCCCTCCATATGGTCCCCAAGGAAGGCGATGAGTGGCGTCCCTGCGGCGATTACCGTGGCCTCAATATGCGGACCGTACCTGATCAATATCCTGTCCGCCACATACACGATTTCTCGCAGACGTTGGCGGGAAACACCGTGTTTTTGACAATCGATTTGGTAAAGCGTATCACCAAATCCCGGTCGCCGCAGCGGACATCTGCAAAACAGCCATCGCGACTCCTTTTGGACTCTACGAGTTTCCATTTATGTGGCGCAGACATTCCAGCGCTTCATCGACAAAGTGCTACGTGGCCTGGATTTCTGCTACGCGTATATCGACGACATACTGGTAGCATCGCCCACACCTGAGGACTATTTGGTCCACCTTGAAGTCCTGTTTCGCCGCCTCCAAGACTACGGCGTCGTCATTAACCCGGCGAAATGTAAATTTGGGGAAACAGCAGTAAAATTCCTGGGATACCTGGTTGATAGCAAGGGTACAGCACCACTCCGGGAACGAGTCAACGCCATAACATCGCTTGCGCAGCCAACCTCAGTCAAGGAGCTCCGTCAATTCCTGGGAGTACCGGTTAATGCCCTTTTTGTACTCCCTCTATTTTTTTACCCCTCTGTATCTCTGTCTTCATTTCCTAACAAATCACTATCTTCTACTTTTTCTCTAACCAATCAACATTTTCAAATTGGAATTTAATTCCACCCCAAAACTATTCCCTCCACTTTTCTATTTTTCTAATTTTCAAAAGTCAGTCATTTTCAGAGTCAGTTGCAATTTGGCCTTCAGTCTGTTCAACCATTCGCTCTTTCGGTTCGTTTTCTATTTTCATTCGTTTTCCAATTTTATACAGTCCACTTTCTACATAAGTTCAGTTTTTTTGTTATCAATTTGTTTTTGTTAAAGTGTTGTTAATCCTTAGTTAAGTGTTGTAAATAAATAGTTAAATCCAAGTGCAGTTTTACATCACCAAGTTACATTTGCGTAATTCCAAAAACTGGCCCCTACAAACACATAAAAGTCGTCAGAATACGGCGATAACATTTTTGGTCCTTCGGGCCGTATACAAAAAAAAGGATTACGCGAAAAAAAAATCATACAAGGATTTACAATCATCCAGGACTACAGTCATTTTGCATTAGACATCGACACCGGAGCGTGATTTTTGCCCTACAGCAGCGAGTCCAGGACTACAGTCATCTTACATTGGAAATCGACACCGGAGCCTGATTTTTGGCAAGCTCATTACAAACTACCACTAATCCTCTTTACTTCGTTTTTCCTAATACGTTCCCCTATTTTACTAATACAATGGCCGATCTCGTTTTGCTCAAACACAAGCAACTTGAGGATACAAGAAAGTTATCTTTCACTCAAGACAAAAATTTCCTCAAGAGAACATACACAAGTTGATGTAAAAACGCGAATAACCAAACTTCATAATTGCATCACTAAAAATCAACAGTCGCTAGATCGAGATCTTATTCAAACAAAGTTCGACAGACTTAAAACAAGATTCGCAAGTATGTACGAATTAGTCAAACGGTTAACAGGAGTAGATGCGGAAACACAGGAAGCTCTCTACCAGGAAGTAGAGAAAATCGAAGATGACTTTGACATAGTCATCATAGATACAGCTCGTGTGATAAGAGGTAATACACAAAATATACCCTTATCCACTACAACTGATAATTCTCAGTCCCGTTCGATGGGTAGTCATCAGAAATAAAATTTGATGACGCAATCGTACAGGGACAATATAGGGCTAAGGTTTTTATCACTAAAACCGATACGAGAAATTGCAATCTTTGCCCTCTATGCAAGCAGTCACATCCGATTTACAAATGTGAATCTTTTCTAGCGATGGCTCATGACGATCGCAAACGAGCTGTACAGCAGAAAAAATTATGTTACAATTGTTTAAGATCAGGGCACAGTCTAAACGACTGTAAATGTAGCTGTTGCCGTTTCTGAAACAAAAAACACAATTCCCTATTGCATCAAGATCAGGATTTATTGACCCCTATTGCTTCTACATCCGCTATGTTTCATATTGACGAAAATGCTGGGCATAATACTTCAGCACGACCAGGCCACAGGTCATTTTTGTTAAACTCTGTAGAATGCGAAGATATTCTCCCCACAGCATTTGTAAATATAGTCGGCAAGGATAATTTCGAAATCTCTTGTCGCGCTATTATCGACACAGCATCCAGCCGAAATTTCATAATTCATGACTTAGCCAACAAATTGCAACTCACAAAACGTAAAACATCAATTCCTATTAGCACGTTAGATGAATTGGCTACAGCATGTAACTATCCGTTATTGCAATTATCAGAAACAACAATTATCAGAAAACACTTGAATTTTTAGCGATACCATCCATTCCAACTTTTATTCCGGATCAAAACATAGGTCGCAAATCAATTAATCTGCCTAAAAACATACAATTGACAGATCCATTATTCTACAAAACAGCAGCAGTACATCTTCTTATTGGTTCAGGATTCATTCTAAGGAGAGAAATTGCCGAACTATTATCCTGTGGAGGTTTCAATCTACGAAAGTGTGCCTTCAACTCCAAAGAAGTCATACAAACGATACCAGATAAGAATGTCAATTTACAGCTTCAAGGCAACGATGGTACTTCACTTAAAACGCTAGGGGTACATTGGCATTCATCTCAAGATACCATAGTATACACGGTCCAGCCTACAAAAACTGTCAAGACAACCAAGCGACACGTTTGCTCCGAAATCGCACGAATTTTCGACCCGCTAGGGCTTCTCAATCTCGTCGTAGGAACAGCCAAGTTAATAATGCAGGAGTTATGGAAGCTGCGGCTGGATTGGGACGAATCTCTGCCACAAGAGATCACCACTCGATGGAATCAATTCACAGAACAACTTCCATCTCACAACGTTGTCGCATTTCCTCGAAAAGTTCTACGGCAATCCATACAGGAAGTTCAATTACATGGATTTTCTGACGCTAGTAAACGAGCTTACGGCGCTTGTATTTATTTGCGGTCACTAGATTCTTCCGGAAAATTACATGTGCAACTGTATTGTGCCAAGTCTAGGGTAGCGCCATTGAAGAAAATACAAACTATTCCGCGTCTCTAACTGTGTGGTGCATTGCTTCCAGTCGATCTATACAATTCGATAAAAATTTCCATAAATGCAAAAATAGATCGAACATTTTTTTGGACTGATTCAACTATTGCGTCAAATTGGATCAATACTGCGACACATTTGTTAAAGGTATTTGTTGCTAATAGAGTTGTAGGTGTTCAGTCAAAAACAAATACTTCAAATTGGAGATACGTGCCTACACAAGACAACCCAGCGGATCCTCTATCTCGTGGTCTTATGCCCAGCGATTTCGTAAAACCGACATTATGGCGAGAGGGTCCGGCTTGGCTCGCAACCCACGGAACCCTTAGAGATAAGAAAATCTAAATGTTTAAACACGAGTTGCGCTTATCTTCACGTATTGCACAAGTTCTCATCATTTACTACGTTACAACGTGTAATCGCATTGTGTCTACGTTTTAGCCTGAAACCGAGGAATAAAGGGAATATCACTGCGGAAGAAATCAAACATGCTCGAACTAGGATTGTGAAACTAGTACAGTTGAATTTCAAGACGAAATAGCGAAACTGCAAAAAGGACAGATGGTACCCAGCAAAAGCAGGCAGTTAGCACTCAATCCCTTCCTGGACAATGAAGGAATTATTCGAGTAGGAGAACTTTTACAGAATGCTCCGTTTATATACGATAGAAAAGACTTTTGGGTCATTGACGGTCGAAGTCAAGTTCGATATGTTCTTCGTCTTTGCGTAAATTGCACGCGCTTTAATCCGTCAAAAGTTGATTATGTTATGGGCAATCTGCCTGAAGTAAGGACTCAAGTAGTTCGTCCTTTTACAAACGTTGGCATCGATTACTGTGGCCCATTCTTTATCAAAGAAAAGAAAAACAGGAATCGCAACAAAGGTAAGGTCTATGTGGCGGTTTTCATCTGTTTATCTATAAAAGCTATTCATTTAGAAATCGTCAGTGATCTCACCACTGAAGGTTTCATAGCAGCTTTAAAACGATTCATTGCCAGAAGAGGACTTTGTGAATCTATCCATTCGGACAACGCCACAAACTTTGTCGGCGTAAACAAGGAGCTGAAGCAAATGCTAGCTCTAATCATGTCGCAGGAGCACAATAATAAAATCCAGCGATATTTGTCCAATCAAGGAATCACAAGGCGATTTTCACCACCTTATGTGCCGCATTTTGGAGGAATATTGGAAGGGGCGGTTAAGTCGTTCGAACATCACTTGCGAAGAGTAGCTGGCAATACTTTATTCACGTTTGAGCAATTTAATACCTTGATAGTTGAGATAGAAGCCATTCTTAATTCTCGTCCGTTGACTCCTCTATCCTCAGATCCGCAAGACATCTTACCGTTAACCCCAGCCCATTTCCTTATAGGTGGTAGTTTTAGGAGTTTACCAGAGCCCGATTATTCGAATGTTCCGAACAATCGACTGTCCAGCTGGCAACACATCCAAAAATTAAGGCGAGATTCTTGGGCTAGATGACAGAAAGAATACGTAAATGAACTCAACGTCCGTCGAAAATGGTACAAGGGTACCCATTCCATTCAGGTTGGTTCCATGGTTCTCGTACGTGAAGACAATCTTTCATATTTTATACAGTCCACTCTCTACATAAGTTCAGTTTTTTTGTTATCAATTTATTTTTGTTAAAGTGTTGTTAATCCGTAGTTAAGTGTTGTAAATAAATAGTTAAATACAAGTGCAGTTTTACATCACAATACAAGTTACATTTGCGTAATTCTAAAAAGTGGCCCATACAAGAAAGTCGTCAAACTACGGCGACAACACCGTGTCTTGCTGACATTTTAAAAATACAACGCAGTGCATAAGTCATACAATAGTTTCTTTGTATTAAAATAAGATGCAATATATAGCTCCCCCTTCGTTAAGCTGAATGTGTCGTTAAAGTCTTTGACTTTAATTTTGTGAAAGAATTCTTTTGGTACAATTTTTACATATTTTTCAAAATGTTATTCATATGATATTGTAGCGAGCACGAGTGTGTTTGTGTGCGATCGGGCACACGTGTACGTGAACGGCTTATCGATTCGCCGACTAGCCGCGGGAGCCATTCTTCATGTGCGCCGTATTTGTAAATGTGTATGTCGTACCTGCGTTCTGGGAAAGCAGTTACACAGTTCAAAGAAAAAATAAACTATCCGGACGTTTCCAGAATGTTCCCGAAAGTAAACAAAAGAGTATTTAAAGGAAGAGACGATCGCCGAGAAGTGAAGAAATAAATTGACCGTTGCAGAAGTGAATCCAGAAATAAATTGATAGTGATAGAAGTGAAATAAATAGGGCAGTGAATAGTGATATATCAACAGTAGTGTAAATAAATAGAATAATTCATAACCTATGTTTAGTAATAATTTCATACTGTTTTTAAGTTTTTTAATAATTAGTGTAAATAAATAGTTTTTGTCGTTATCAGTCTTACCCAGGTAGAAAGTGATCAATGAAATTAGCTTGCATTAAGGTAATTTTGTAAATGTTAGCTTCAAACTAGCCAACTAACTAAGGATGGTACAAGGTTAGTTGGTAACGCTTTAGAAGGCTAACAGTAAGCTTACGATTTTAGCTTGCATAAACAATGACAATTTAGGTAACTACAAGTTAAAAAATAAATTTTATTTTAAGAATGTACAGATTAGGTATGTTGAGTAAGAAAAGCGTTCGTAGAAAAAAGAATTTATTTAATATTTTAATAAGGTATTTTTGGCTACAGCAGTTTGCAAATTTGTTTTACACTTTTCGGTTCTACAAGTTTAGAAATTATTTTCTTCTTTCTTTCCATTTAATGCTCTAATCAATTCCTTTCTTTGATTTTCTTCTAGTTTCTGCTTTTTTGTTTTTATCGTTACGTTACCCACGATAATGGCACTGAATCGATGAATTTTTTAATTTCTTACCGCGGAGGGTTATGAATTCAATCAATAAATAATCATAAATTGCATCTTCTTGTTCATAACCTAAATATGTTGATGTCTCGTCGGTCGTTTTTACAACGATTTTAATGTACACTATCTTAACTGATGTAAATAATCGATGTTATATAGAAGATACACTCAATATTTCATATACTTTTTCAATATTATTTTAATTGCTACATTTAAAGCCTCAAATGTTAAAAATTTAACCACAACGTCCAAGAAAGTAATAAAGGTACAACATCCAGTTGAATGATCGCTGTGTTGTGCTGAGCAAGCAGATGGCGGCTGTTATTAAAATTAATCGGTAGTATATAAAACAAAATAAACTTAATATGCTTTTATTACTATTATAATTATTTCATTACATTTAATTGTATAATTTAAATTATAATAATTTTTTTGACATGTATATTATTTGTTTATAAAACTACATTAAATTCAAAGTTATGCTTCCAGTCGATCTATACAATTCGATAAAAATTTCCATAAATGCAAAAATAGATCGAACATTTTTTTGGACTGATTCAACTATTGCGTTAAATTGGATCAACACTGCGCCACATTTGTTAAAGGTATTTGTTGCTAATAGAGTTGTAGGTGTTCAGTCAAAAACAAATACTTCAAATTGGAGATACGTGCCTACACAAGACAACCCAGCGGATCTTCTATCTCGTGGTCTTATGCCCAGCGANTAATGTAATAGAGGCAACGCATAACGGTGTACTGAACTATTTTCTGAAAAATTTAAATCTATTTACATTACTTTCGATTTAACTCTTAAATTATCACTCCGAACTACATTTACATTTGATGAACTTGAATAAGAATCATTCCCATGTTCTGCTGGGTGACTATTTTCTTGTCGATGTTACTGAATTTTTAATTTTTTTCATTATTCGACAATTTTGTACCCTCAAACGTGTTAAACCTAATTTCCTTTTATGATTATTATCCAATATTGTTTTCGCCGGAATAAGTAATAATATAATGTAACGTTGCTTTTACTTATGATTTCATGTTAAAAATAATTCTCAAAATTTGCGTGGAAAACAAGCTAATAGGGAGATATATTTTAGGGTTACGTACACTTCAAAGTCTTGTAATGTTTTTCATTCTAATAACAACCTAGAATTAAGCTTGCGAAATGAATCTTGGATGCTAAGCTAAAATAAAGCTAGTTTGAAGTTTCAAACTTGTCTGACTAAGACAATTTTCTACCTGGGTTAGAAGTTAATTTTGTTAAACCCACGAATATTACAATATTTTTTTAAAATTATATACCTACATTGTTGTCAATAATTAATCGACATGAAGGTTGCGAAAAAGTTGCCGTTTAGATGTTTTTTATTTAAATGCTCGTTACATTGTTCTAACAAATTTTCATTTTTCAAATGAGCCAAGATTTTTCCATTATGCAGTTGAATAGAGACACTTTTATCTGTAACATTTTTCACGAAATTACACTTATCGTTCAACTCACAAACATCGCTTTTGGCATTCTTGAAAATTAGTAGTCCATTTCTTCGTTGTCCTTCAAAGCTGGTCCATAGGAATTCCTCATGGTGTCGCAGGAGGAACCATAATAAAATTGTTTGTAGACAGTGAATAGATTTGGGAAATATTGTAAACTCTTCGTTGCAGGATATGTATTTTGACAATGTATACAACCAATTGAGAAGTTATAGACGTTTGTAATTAAAATAGGGGAAAAACATCATATAAATAAGAAGAATTCATGCATTGTATTGCCTGCTTCGGAAATTAGTTAAAAAGATCTTGTTTAATTTCAGAAAAGGTATCAAACTAGTTCGAAGTGTAGGAGATTTTCGTTACTGAAAGTAATTGACCTTTCTATTAGTAAAACTTTTTCTATCAAAACGTTCAGAAAGTTAAGACGAAACTGTGCATTTATGTTTACTGTGTTCTTTCATTTATTTGATTTAAATTTTCTGTTATACTCTTCGTGTAATTTCCCAATTGTTGTAAGTTTTCTTTATATTGATTGGAGATGGTATGTGCAAAACTAGTGAACCCTTTCAATAATGCGTTTTTCATTAGTTGCCATTTTAATTATGTCTTCTTGAAATTCTTGAAGGTCGTTGTCATCAGAATTACAAGCAATGTATATTATCGCTGTTCCAAGAAAGTTTGTGTTGACGCCGTAGTTTGACGACTTTATTTGTATTATTGTAGGGGCCAATTTTTAGAATTACGCAAATGTAACTTGCTGATATGAATCTGCACTTGGTTTTTAACTATTTATTAACAACACTTAACTAAGGATTAACAACACTTTAACAAAAACAAATGGATAACAAAAAAAAACTTAACTATGTAGAGAGTGGACTGTATAAAAATGGGAAATGAATGAAAATCGAAAACGAACCGAAAGAGCGAACGATTGAATAGACTGAAGGCCAAATCGCAATTCTCTTCGAAAATGACTGAAGTTCTGAAATTAGAAAAAATGGAGACGTGGAGGAAATAGTTTAGGGGTGGAATTAAATTCAAATTGGAAAAGGTTGATTGGTTAGAGAAAAAGTAGAAGATCGTGATTTGTTAGGAAATGAAGACAGAGATGCAGAGGGGTAAAAAAATAGAGGGAGTACAAGAAGGGCATTAACCGGTACTTGGGGTACCGACACACGTGCAACGCATGTTTAGAAATTTGCAGTTTGCCTCGATTTCTGGGAAACATAACCCAAGCGAAAACCCAATTGAACTTTATTGGGGTGTTCGTGTTTGAATAGAAGAAACTGAATGTTAGAATAGAACTCGACACAATGGTCAATAAAATATTTTGAACTTTGATGGTCGGCAAACTACAAATTCCTAAACTTGCTGCCGTAAAATGTACACAATTGAAAATACTACAATAATAAGAAAATAACCATTCTACTAGAATTATAAAAATAAATGCTGAAAAATATACAAATAACAAAATGAATATTACGACTCAACATACTCCCCCCGTTGAGAGCTATGCGATCAACTAAAAATATCCCTGATAAACGTAATACATATATGAAAATTGAAAATACCTAAAACCTAGCTTGCAAAAATGAATGGTAAATACTTATGAATTAAAATCGTCTCCTGTAGTTCTTTGATTGGCACTTTCACACGCGTTTATCGGCAACGGCACTAGCCTTTTCACGCACTTTTTTAACTTGCTGGCGACGGCTCTAATCGTCGCTGCACGGATTACGCCGTCCTGCCCTGGATGTACCGAGATGACTCGATCCAAACGCCACTGAAGGGGTGGAAGATTGTTTTCCTGTACGAAAACCATTGAACCAACTTGAATGGAATGGGTGACCTTGTACCATTTTCTCCGGACGTTGACTTCATTCACGTACACTTTTTGCCAAAAATCTCGCCTTAATTTTTGGATGTGTTTCCAGCTGGACAGTCGATTATTCGTAACATTCGAATAATCGGACTCTGGAAAACTCGTAAAACTACCACCTATATGGAAATGTGCTGGGGTTAACGGTAAGAGGTTTTGCGGATCTGAGGATAGAGGAGTCAACGGACGCGAATTAACAA